TGTATGTATCGCCCACCTAAGGGAAATGAGTCTTTTTTTTCCAGCCTCGCGCTCTACAAGGAGTCATAAACGGTTAGAATGGGTTCTTCGAGGTCTTTACTCGAAGATGTGAAGAGGAACGGATTTTTTATTAACATTAAATGTGGGATTCGGTGAAGGATAGAAGGGTTTTGTAATTTATAACACTCGGAATTAGCGTACATATCGAATTGAATTTATGCACAGCGAAAGTAACTTTGGTTTACACCATGAGAGCTGGAACGAGAGTGAAGCTCCCGCGACAACAGTATTAGATCATCCGATCGAGGATGTCCGAATTATTACGAATCGTCGCAAGGATGTCTTACGACAAGGACAGCGATATATCGGCGACACGTGTCACGGTACGAAATTCAGTTGCTGAGCCGAACTCGAAAACATACATTGAAATGGTGTGAAATAAGTATAAAAGTAGCTTCGCTACATTAAACATATTTAATTATGTAATTCAATTGCCATCGGCCAGTGAGCGAGGGAATCGAACTTTGAGGGTAATACCGCCCGGCAAGCGTCCAATACCGCCCACCTTGTTTTTATGACTTTTTTGAGTAATGCAGACCAACTGTTATAATTTTTCTTATTTTCATCCTTCTTTTCCATTCTTTGGCTCCATTTTGAGAACGATTTTACGTGAATAATAATAAATTATCCTGAATTTACCCGATGTTCCTGTGGCCACCGACTACCCCAAACAATCAAGCTGTCACTCGATCGCCCTCTAGCTGCAGGGTCTAGCAGCCCTATAGAAATCCTGAGCGGCATTATACCCACAAACTCTGGGCGAAATTACCCACAAACGCGGAGACTGATAAAATAGCCAATAATAGATGAATATATTTTTCTGCAATCGAAAAGGTCGCAATGGATGTGGAAATGTACAACGAACATATACTTCGCACTGCATTCAATTATGGACCAACTGGAAATTTGACAAATCTTGAATTCTGGGGTCGAAATATTTCAAGGATTCGGTAGGAAATGATTTTCATTTTTTTTAATGATGTTTCCACGGTAGAAAATTGAAAATTTCGGTTGAAATTACTTGTCGTTATCAAATATTTGCATAATAAAGAAAGAAAAATTTTTTTTTCTCAGTCAATCCTGAGAAATACGGGTGGGCGGTATTACCCATTGGGCGGTACAGGCACTAGCTACCCTAAAAATGTATTGATTTTCGTGATTGAATGAATCAACTGTTTGAATTGATTTGAGGAGAAATTAATTCCGGAGAATTTTACAAGGGGAAAAAACCTTTTCATTCCATTATAATCTGATTGTGAAATTTTCAATTGTGTATTGTCGTCAATCCTATCAATTCTATTGCTGAAACTGCATCGTTAAGCTTTTCAGTAATGACCATCTCCATTCAATTCCCTCTCACATTTTCCCTCCCGCTATTTTTTTTATCTCAAAATTCTCGCATTCATTTGCCGCTAGTATTGTTCGTTTACGTTCATCCCAGCTTCACTGTCGACCAACTGCGAGCCTCCTCTCCTCATTTGCGTAATGCCTCGTTTTTTTTTTTTTCAATCTTTTTGTACCCCTGATGCTAAGCAATTTTCTCGCCTTCATTTACTTACTTCAACACTTTTTCTTATTCTGGATGAAGATTATTTTTAGGGTCTTTTTCTTCCGAATGCAAACTTTGTAATAGTTTTGATGATTCAAATTTTGCTTCTAATTTTACTTTGGAAATGACGTAGAATGTCATGAAACGTGCAGATATGATGTTTTTAGAAAATGTATGTGCGAATTTTTTGGAAAATTTTTATAAATCTTCACAGAAAGAGGACTAAAATTGAAGCTAAAAATCTGAAATTCCGTGACATAATTGGTATTACTTTGGAGCACTTCTGGGCGCAATTTCAGTTCAATCGGCCAAGTAGTTTCCGAGAAACAGCAATTTCTCAAAAATCTTTTTTCCTCAATATCTCGAAAAATACATGGAGAGAAATATTCAATAAAAATTACATATCATTTCCGTAATTCCGGAGCGCACTGTGGTTGTGGGAAATTTTACGGAACTGTCAGGGAAAAAATTACGAACCGTCACTTAAATTTTCTGAGTCGATTCCGTAATCGGTGAACGAACTGGGTACGTGATCTTTGTACGCGACTGAATTGAATTTTTTTGACGTCAAAATATTCCTTGTAACAATATCTATCAAATCAAATTACTATATTGCTATGTAACTAGGGACAGTTTGGTAATAATCGGAATTTTTCGTTTTTATGAGGAAATCGTTCTGTGCACGATAACTCCCAGAAACAGATAGGATGTGGGAATTTGGTGAGATTGTAGCTTTTATGGTATTACAGGATGGGATTGTGGGTATCCAAAATCGAGGAAGTGGCTTAGATATTCAACGTTCTGTGAAAAACTGTTTTGCTCAATATCTCCCAGACTACTGGTCCGATTATTTTTTATTCGCAAAATACTCGTCTTGTTTTTATTTCCCTTTGGGATTTGCATAGCGCCGTCAAATTGGAAAAATAATGTTTAGAGTACTGATGCGAGCGCCCAGATCGCTACGGTCAATTCAATTTGTCATATGTCATCGACATGTTTTAATAGATATTAAAAATGAGATAACGTTTCTGGATGGACAATAACTTTAATGGTTCGGGAAAATACGGGGGATAGATTCTCGTGGTTTAAGAGTCTCGTAAAATATAACATTATTTGATGCTGCCTTTCTCCGGTCTGAACCCTACCCTTTTATAGCCATCGCATAAAGCTTTATATTTTGTACTTCGAGTATTACATGAACTAATGCTATTGCCTCGGGAGGAGCTTTGCAATTTCGTGGCAAGCAGTATTTTTATAATGGTCTAGCATCTTGATGTTTGTTCATGGGGACAAGAAGATTCGGGAAGTAAATTCATTTCCTATTGAGATGTGACACAAAAGACCGAGTACATACAGATTAAATTCATGTTTAAATTGGAAAAAGGGCAAAGAGAATTATATGGGTTGGTAAATATCGACCCTGGCTTTAGCCATCGGCGGTTATCCTCTACCATCTCTCTCCCTCTTGAACAATATTTTTTCCCCTCTTTTCACTTCTAATGCACATTCTCGTACTCCCCTTTACTCATTGCACTTGGTGAGCCATTAAAAGCTCCAACCAGACAGTGAACAAACGCTCCTTTCGTATTTTCCTGATGGCCACTAACTCATAGTAATTAACGTTTCGTCGCTGAGTAGTTTGCACCGTTCGAATAATTCCCGGAAGACACATGTACGTGTTTTGAGAGTGTATGAGTAGTCGACTCATTCTCTATTTGTCTTTCACTTTTCTCAACTGAAGAGATAAGATAAACCAGAATGATCCCCTAACTCCTTATTCGCCGATCGTCATGGTGATGGATGACGTTCAGGAATTATAATTTTTTCTCTCAACACCCTTTTGGGTTTTTAGGATTTTTTCTTTCCTATCCCTCCAATGGGATTAGAGAAACGGAAAAGGAATAAAAGAAAAGCTCAATTAAAGTAAAAACTTGACCAGGTACAGCCGTCTTTTGCAAGACTCCTCCCGCTCGGACAATGAAACTGTAAGAGTTACGGCATTACAAATTTTGTTTCCCCAGATGGAAATTGGACTCGATTTTCCCGAATGCCAACCCCCAAACTCTAACTATACCGCCATTTTTTTATAGAATGTTTCATTGATTCATTGACCATAAGATGAAGTACAGTTGGTCGTACAGGCAACGTTTTTTCCACATCGACAACCAAAGTGGAAAGACGAAGAATAATTCTTGGAGTTAAAGTTAGTTCCTATATAAATGCTGTTGCACTATGAGTAGGAAGACTGAAATGTTGTGACTAGCACTGAAACGTTTAAATAACATTATGAATAATTGTTTAGGGACTCTGTGGTCCGCTGGATTTATTAGGCACAATAAATTGGTCAGTGAAACTAGGGATCCCGCTGCTTTTTGGCCTTAAATCTGTATATAAATACTCAACTTCTAGTTATTTACAAATATATATATAAGAGTATAAAGTATCAGACTCTTTAGCCTTTGTCAAGCCACCAGTATTTTTTTATGTTATCTCTAAGAGTATCTTCTACATCTTGTTGGTAACCACTTAGCTACTGCCTTCGGTCATTCAGTAACTATCTTTGAAAACTCATAAGTTCCTTTGCTTTCAGAAGACTGGAATGTTGTAGTTAGCACTAAAATGATCAAATAACGTTATGAATAATTTTCTAAAAACTCTGCGATCAGGTGTTTTTGTTAAGCACCGCAAATTGGCCAGTAACACTGGTGATCCCGTTGCTTTTTGGACTTCAATTTGTACATAAATACTCAACTGCTGGTTATTTACAAATATATATAAGAGTATAAAGTATGAAACACTTAAGGCTTTGTCAAGCCACCAGTATTTTTCGGTATTATCTCTAAAAGTGACTTCTGTATCTTTCTACTAACCACGCAGCCTCTGACTTCGATCGTTCAGCAAATATCCTTGAAAACTGATAAGTTCCTTTGTTTTCGGAAGACTGGAATGTTGTAGTTAGCACTAAATGATCAAATAATGTTACGAATAAATTTTTAAGGACTCTGTGGTCGGATATATTTGTTAGCGACCAGAAATTGGCCAGGAAATCTGGCAATCCCGTTGCTTTTTGGTCTTAAAGAGTGTCTTCTGTATCTTTTTCACAAACACAGAGCCACTGCTTTCGGTCGTTCAGTAACTTGAAAGCTAATAAGTTCCAGCAAGATTTTTTTGACCGTTCATGTATTTCATGATTTTTTGATGTTGTAACTTATGGCCTCAGCGGTCCTCAGCAATTTTAATATAAATTAATCACGTGAAGAAATCTCTTAAAGTCTAAATTGTCCCAACGTTTCGACTTCCAGGAAAGTCCTCATCAGGAGATTCTCTTTACTCTTTGATCGTTAAAGGTACCGATGTTGATCTAAATAGCTAATAAGTTCCTTTGTTTCAGAAGGCCAACAAGTGCCAACGCTATGCGAGCTGTCTGCCCGCTGCGTGGCATCTCACATTCCCTTCGAGCTCGTCGAGCACGTCTACCCCCCAGTTCCCGAGCAACTCCAACTCAGGATAGCCTTCTGGAGTTTTCCCGACAACGAAGAGGACATCAGACTCTACTCGTGCTTAGCAAACGGAAGTGCCGACGAGTTTCAACGGGGGGAACACCTCTTTCGCGGTCGAAGTGTCAAAGAACCTTTACAGATCGGGTTTCACTTGAGCGCGAGTGTCAATGTCCAGGGTTTTTCCGGGACCGGGGGTGATCGCACCCAGTGTAAAGTCGCGGTAACCTTCGATCGTCGTCGCATAATCTCGTGTAACTGCACGTGTCCATCAACCGCTTATTGGTGTTCACACGTAGTGGCAGTATGTCTCCACCGAATTCACATGCCCACCCAGGTCTGCCTACGGGCGCCGGTGAGCGAGTCTCTTTCGCGTCTCCACCGCGAACAACTCCAAAAATTCGCGCAGTATCTCATCAGCGAACTGCCACAGCAGATTTTACCAACGGCACAACGTCTTCTTGACGAATTACTGTCTGCTCAGCCGAGCGCCATCAACAGCTACTGCGGTGCGCCAGATCCCACCGCAGGTGCCTCGGCTCACGACCAGACCTCCTGGTACCTTGACGAAAAAACCCTTCACGGTAACATCAAACGAATCCTCATAAAATTCTGTGTCCCCGCGCCCATCGTCTTCAGCGACGTGAATTACCTCAGCACGACAGCTCCACCCGCGGCCACCGAATGGTCCTCCCTCCTTCGTCCTTTACGCGGTCGCGAGCCCGAGGGCATGTGGAACCTTCTTTCGATTGTTCGCGAGATGTTCAAGCGCACTGATCGCAATGCGATACCATTACTGGAGATTATCACTGAGGAGTGCATGGCTTGTGAGCAGTTCTTGGTGTGGTGGTTCAACACCAAAGTGGCACTTCTCAATGGCACAGGCCATGGCGGTGGCAAACACGGCAGCATGAACAGCAATGCCCATGCTTCTCAACACGCCTGCTCCTCTCTGTGCGACGAGATCGTCGTCCTGTGGAGACTGGCAGCTTTGAACCCTGGGTTATCGCCTTCTGAACGTGAAATGCTTCACGGACAGTTCACAGCGTGGCACATGAAGGTTGTTGACAAGGTGACGAAGAGCCGAGGGAGTTCAGTGAGCCACAATACCCAGAACAGAAATCATGGAGGTGCGCAGAAAGACTCCTTGAAGACCGATATCGATGTCTTTACTGGGTTCAAGCCGGCCTTGGAGGCTTGTTATCTGGACTGGGATGAGTACACCCTTCCCGGCATTACGTACACAGCTGGTAGCAATCCCATGTACCACTGTCCGTTCACCTGCTTCCGTCACGCTGGCGACAGCCGAACAGAGGTCAATCAGGTCAACTCCTCGGCTGCTGTTCTCAACTGTCAAGTTCCAAATTCTCATCATCACAGCAGGCGTCCTCACATGGGACTCGTGGAATTCAGTTACATGGACAGAAAGTGCCTAAACTCCCGAGAATTTCCCGGTTTCTCCTCAAGAAATCCTAACAATGCGCCGGGACCAAGCAGCGGTGCCAATAACGCTAGTGGTGGACGCGATGGAAATCGATCGAGTGTGAGCTCCGAAGGCTTCTGTGAAAACGACGGCGACATGTTCCCACTACCACCACCAGTTGTTCTAGTGCGACGAGGCTATGGTGAACTGAATAACTGCGGTGACACTGACTCACAGGAAGGTGGTGGAAGTGATCTATCGTCCAACAGCAATTCAAGTTTGAAAAACGCTCAAGATTCAGATAAGCATCGCTCAAACGCCTCGTTCAGTGATAGTAGTGATAGTAGTAATAATATTGAAGGTGTACCGAGTACTTCCAACACTCTACCGAAAGCGTCTACATCGAAAGACACGAAGGATCCATCCAGGCGGCCCTCGAAAGACGAATCGTCATCGTCCAGCTCAGACAGCCCATCAGGGGATGAGTACAATTTCTATTACTACGACCCGAAGGCGGCTGCCAGCATCAACGCGACTGATGGAAAAGAGTCTAAAGCTGAGAACCAGGGGAGTGCGAACGCCAGTGCAGTCCTTGGTAATCTCAAGCAGACAGAGGATCCGTGGGATGTCTTGTTTGCAAGGGCAGAGGGACTTTACGCTCACGGCCACACGAGGGAGGCTTGCATCCTCGGGGTGCAGTTAGCGGAAGAACTTTTGTCTCATCCACCTGATTTAATGGTTGAAGTGCCACCTGTTCCCGTGAAATCTAAGAGAAAGAAACAACCGGTTAATCCTGCCTCTCATCAGCTGACTTGTTTGGCTTCAGCCACTCTGGCCAAATGCGGTTTTCTCTGCACAGTTCTAGCTGAGAATCCTGAGCATCATAATCTAGCGTTCAGGGTGGGTCTCTTTGGACTGGAGATGGCCAGACCTCCAGCCAGTACTAAACCACTGGAGGTTAAGCTCGCGCATCAGGAGAGCGAACTCGTTGGACTGCTCAAGAGAATTCCACTAGGTCCTGCTGAGCTCTCAATGCTTCGCCAGAGGGCAGAACAACTCAGAGATGGAGTGCTCAGGTCTCGGGGACATGCACTCCTACCCATAATGCTCGCCAGCTTGATATTTGATGCTTTCAATACACCCAGATTAAAGGGCGACTGGTCTGTCCTGACGAATGATAATGACGAGAACCTTGGATTTGACGCTGCTGTTGCTGCACTAGGATTAAAGGCTAATGTCAGCGAGGCGGATCATCCTTTACTTTGCGAGGGCACTAGGAGACAGAGGTATTTACCAACGTCTGGGGGAATGGTTGGCGGGGGGAGGGGGAGGGGTAATCTCGTGTGGATTATTTTTGTGGTTGTTTAGTTGTTTTTGATTAAATCTTGTGAGTCGGGTGTTGATTTATTTGGGGCTTTTACAGGGGAGATCTGGCGATCACTCTTCTGGTTCATTACAAGGACGAACCAACAAAATTAGCCAAGATAATGGATAAATTGCTGGATCGAGAGGTCCATCAGTTGATTAAATCACCAATTGTTAGTAGCTATTATAGCTCTAATCCTCCAACTACGAGCCAGGTGAGTAATTTATGGAATTTATTTTCTTGTTGATTATGGAAAAATTGAAGGACATCGGTACAATCATCAATCATCATTTTTAATAAAGTTGAATTTTGAATTAGTCAAATGGTTCATATTACTCAACAATTTTTAAATTATTCGATTAGTCATCAATAAATAAATACTGTAATAAATATTCGAATGCCGAATGAATTTATCAATCAGTAATTGAGTTCAGAAGATGATTATTTGGCTAATCGAAAAATCCTTTTATGAAATTTGGAATTATTTATTCAATAGTTGATTGACAATTACATATTGTCGATTACTTAATTCATAGTCAACTGAAAATGGAAGTTATCAATTATTTTATTATTTTTCAAATTTCGGTGAAGATAAGTAAACCTACAACCCCAACAAATACCTCGTTCAATTCGTTGACGATACAGCATTAATAGCCCACGGTAGAAATTATGATCCAGTCCGAAATGTACGAATCTGGATTAAAAATTGAGATCCGCTGTTCACACAAATAATGTTATTAAGTTGCCGATATAATTATTTGACCATAATCAAAGACAGCGATGACTTCAAGTGACATCAACTGGAATATTGAAGGTATAACTTGTCCACGGAACTGGAAATTAAAAAATCCCAAATTTTGTCTTTACGACCTTTTACTTTTAGGTCAGTCTCGATTTCTAAGGATAGAAATTATAGGCAAAAGGACGTACATGGTTAAAAAAAAACTGGAAAATTTTGCCATTACGACCTTTTGCTTTTAAGGAATTTTTCATTTCTGGTGACATAAGTTAAAGGCAAAAGGTCGCATATGCAGCTCATCGTCAATCTGAAAATGTAGGTATTATAATACGTTTCTCCAGTATTTTCACGCAGAATTGTAGAAAGAATAAGTGGAGATACGACCTTCTCACTTTAAGAAATTCGGAAAGTAGCTTTTTGGCGTTTATGACCTTTTGCTTTTAGACACGCGATATGTAACTTGTAAATACCAGACTGAAGGCCCTCGGGCGATGGCCAGTCGCAAGTCTCTTGCGACGAATTCCGTTAAAAATAAAAATAAAAAGTAAACCTTAATTATTGTAAGGTGCATACGTATGAAAAAATTTAGTAGAAAATCTTAACAAATTTGCCAGAAAATTCATGCCCAAGCGTTCTTACAGAAAAAAATCCTAGAGAATATTCATGTAGAAAAATCGAAATCTATTGGTTTTTTCTTATCAAATATCAAATATCATCATAGAATCAGCGCAAAAAACAAATAGAATTTTAACAGTATCACAATAGAATTTCTAGAGAATTCCAATAGAATTTTCTAGCGAACTCGCTAAGTTTTTTCATTGAATTTTTTCATATGTGCAACATCTCATAATATTACACAAAAATAATGATTGATGCCGATCTGTGAAAATTAATGGTTTTGGTAACATTAAACTTGTATAAGTTGAACCGCATTTGAAAATTCAGAAAATTTATTAGTCTATTGTACTTGTTGTTAGAGTTGAATGGCATATCGATAAGTTCAACGTCTTTTCCATGATATCCCTCGAGGGATAATGTAGGGAAAATTTTATGTATTCAAACTCCTGATGAAGAAAAAATTCTAGATATAACGCAAACTACTGGGAAGAACATCATTTCTAGCCTTGAGAACGTCTAAATATTCTTTCAGAACAAAAGAATTTCATCCTGTTGGAAAACTTTTATAGACCATAAGGGCATAAATTTCGTTTTCAACGAATGTGAGTACAGATCTCGCCTTCGGCTCAGCCTGTAAACTTCACATTCGTCAAAACGAAATTTATGCCCTTGTGGTCTAATATACTATTCTCTCAGTCTGAAAACGAAATTATTTGTCAGAAGATTTCAGATTTTTAAAATTGACAAGAGAATATTTTCTTATATCAAGTAAACCTTCTTTGTCAAACGTAATATTTTTTTCTGTCAGTGTATAGAAAATCGAATTCTATTGACTTTTTCTATAAAATATTTTTTATTGAACATTCCAATAGAATCCACCAAAAAGTAATAGAAATCCAATAAAATTGTCTAGTGAATTCACTAGGTTTTTCTATCAAATTTTTCCATGTGTGTACTATTAAGGTGTTTCGTGTAAAAAGTCCAAGTAATGAAAAAAATTTGAAAAATTCATGGGAGAAATATCTGAGTATACTGCATCATTGAGAATTTTTGCACATTTTTTTCCGATCTCAGTCTCAAGAAAAAAAATAATGAAATTTGGATGTTTTTGTAACCCCTCCAGCTATAACCTCCGAGGTTACCCCGTTCTCAATTAGGGAAATTTCCATGGCACCCAAAAAAATAATGAACTATTGAGGAAAAACTAGTGGGTGATAAATCAAATCTTTCTTGAGAACACGTAGAAGTTTCAGATTTTTTTCTTATTTCATAACAAAGTTATTTGAACAAATGATTCAAAAAATTATGAGTTTCGGGGCAATTACGCCCTCACGCGCAGGCGCGTGATTCGAATGTCAGTGAGCATCATGGGACAGGTATGGGTTGGACCATGGAACTGAGAGAGAGAAAACACTCGACAAGTCTACCAACTCGACATGCATTTTAATATGATTTCAATAATTAGAAAAACATCCAATAAAATTTATTTGATACCCGTAGGTAATGAGAAAAAAATCAATCAATCTGATAACTAAAATCAGTATTCAAAAAATGTTCAAATACACCCTTAAATAGTTACTTGAAAATTGGAAAATTTCGTGCTCAGCGATTGAATCGGGGCTCGAGAACAATAAGACTTCCCTTCCGTTTCACCCCCCGGTGATCTACACTCAAAACAACTTAAGGGGGGACCCCTGTGAAATTTGAAAGTCTTCGGTGGATCTAGGGACTTATTGAGCGACTTTAGTTATATGATAGAATATGTTAAAAAGTTTCTTTTTTTTCGATTTTTTCATGATCTATATAATCGATTGTGACACGAAAGCTTAACTTTGTTCTTTGGAGTCTCACGAGCATTAAAAAAAAAATCAAATCGGCTCAAAGTTGGGAAACGAGGAAAGTTTTACAGGTGGAAACACGAAAAACTACGTTTTCCGTGGCAGTACGGGACAAAACAGATTGGGTCCGGGAAGTTCCAACTTTTTAACATATCCCATCATATAAGTAAAGTCGCTCAATATGTCCCCAGATCCACCGAAGACTTTCAAATTTCACCGGGGCCCCCCCTTAACTGCCTTTGACATTTGAAAGAGATAAATTTTGGAAAAAAAATCAGATGTAATTAATGAAAAACCTTAATGTTATCTATCCAATGTTTTCTTCTCAAATTACAGTTGGCCGTATTCAGACGAGCAAAAGCGTGCTCCTCACCCCTATCATCGAACGACGCAACAATGTCAGACAACCTAGCCGGCACAAGTTCACGCCCCCACAGTAGTACAAGTGCCGAGCTCGAAACTGGTATGAGTGCACTGACAGTGCAGCCTCAGCCAGCCCAACCCCCCCTGTCAACCCGAACAAAGGAAACGAGGTTAGGCAGGCAAGAGCGGAATGAAATTACACTCCAACTGTTACCTGAACCTGGCTCGCCCATTTTAATAAACAATTTCCTCCATTCCAGGTACAAAAGCAAGAAGGTGTACCCATCGATACCAAATCAACCCTCAGAGGCTGGTGCGCACTTTATGTGTGAACTAGCGAAGACTGTTTTACTGAAGGCAGGTGGTACCTCCTCGACATCCCTCTTCACCCAGGCATCAACCAGCCAGAATCACCATGGACCCCACAGAGCCCTCCACATGTGTGCCTTCCAGATAGGTCTCTACGCGCTGGGACTTCACAACTGCGTAAGCCCAAATTGGCTGAGCAGAACATATTCCTCCCACGTGTCCTGGATAACAGGCCAAGCGATGGAGATAGGTGCCCCAGCCATATGGTTCTTGATCGACAGTTGGGAGGGCCACCTGACGCCACCAGAGGCAGTCAGCATTGCTGACAAATCCTCACGAGGCAGTGACCCCAACATGGTGCGAGCAGCAGCAGAGCTAGCACTCTCCTGTCTGCCCCACGCCCACGCCCTCAACCCCAACGAGATCCAACGAGCAATCCTCCAGTGCAAAGAGCAAAGTGAGGTCATGCTGGAGAAGGCCTGCATAACCGTTGAAAATACAGCTAAAGGCGGTGGGGTGTACCCAGAAGTTCTCTTCCAAGTAGCGAAATACTGGTACGAGCTGTACCTGAGGCACACACCAGGTGGAGAGCAGCAGGACGAGATTCCCCACGAGAATCTCCAGTTGGACCCCAATGGAGGACTGCTAGTGGAGCCAGGGCCACCACAGGTGGACCTGAGTGCCAGTCAGATGATGCCTCAGCCCCAGGCTGTTGTCACCAGTGCCCAGCCACCGCAACCCTATCCACCCCATCCCACGATTACTACTCTGGTCCCAGGTGTTGGATTACCGTATCCAGTGGGACCTTACAGTTTCGTTCATCCTCTCCACTCTATGCCCACCTTCGGTGGTCCCCTGCCACCTCACAGGGTAGCACTGCCCCCTCCGCCTCACATGCAGATGTATCACGCTGCAATATCCCCTCATCCCCCTCATCCTGGCCACCCTCAGCACCCCAGGCATCCACCGCCTGTCACTCAGCCACCATCGGTTCAGCAGTACTATGCTCAGCCAACTGTGACCACTGTCAATGTCCATCCGGGCCCTGGCACCCACCACATGTTCACAATGCAGCAACCAATGCCTGTTAATGTCCAGCCTGATCAGTGTGGCCACAATGGAATGCCTCAGATGGTCCAGCCCCAGCCCATCATGAGCACAGTCAGGCCTCAGCCGCAGGTACATCGACAGAGCCCTCACCAAATGCGGGCACTCGTGGCTGCCTGGAGGGTCGGCATGCTTGCACTTGACACTCTAGGTAGACGGGTGCATGACGACAGACCCCAGGCCAAATACGCCAGAAATCCACCCTATGGGGAGGACGTCAAGTGGCTGCTGAGGATCTCTAAACGATTAGGGACTCAGTGCTTCCATCATCTGTGCGTGTGCACAGTTCAGAGCATTGTCAGTCCGTTTGTACTGCATGATGTCGCGTTGGAAGCCGCTAACTATCTTTCAAGGAGTAATCCAGCGTTATTCATACAGAATCTTAGGTCTACGGTACTGGCACCGCTGGTGCACAAGTGCCAGCAGATGTACATTCAGTGTCTTCATCATAAGTTGTATCATCTTATGTCCGGGGAGTATGAGGAGTTTGCTAGTGTTGTTTGCGCAGCTAGGGCGGCCTTCCATATCACCCCGGAGGGACACACGCAGTTTAAGGAGTGGCTGCAGTCTATGAAAAGGTGGGGTTTTAGTGGAGATTGTGGGTTTAAGGTATTTATGATGTAGTCGGGGAGGTCGAAAGAAAGTCAAGAAATTGATGATTTCTTTTATATATTCTTTGATGTTTTCAAAACCCCTGTGCAAAATCCCGGATGGCCTGGGAGAATGGGCGAAAATCAGGAATTTTTATAAAAAATGCATTTTAATACGGGATCTTATGGGAATTAGATATTAGGGACAAAATATTTCTTGATAAACTTCATTGTATGAAAGATATTTTTCTATCCTGAAAAGGCACCGTCTTGTATGAATGATTCGCCTCTTGAGCCAACTATTTCGTTGTTCACTGTTAGAAAAAATATTAAATTTCATGGACAGTTGATTACTAATTTTCAGGACGATGACACTGAATGCGATTTAGGGAAAAAACAAGCAGGATTGTAAGCCTTTTTGGCAGAACCCATGTGACATTTACTTTTTTTTTTCTACCAATTCCATTGGTAATAAGCTTCCGAATGGATTCGTACAATTTCGCAGGTGATAACTACTCAGAAAGCTATTCATATTGGTAAGGGGAGTAAACCACACCGACCTCTGATTCTGTCAGAGCAATACAATTTCATCCTGTAATGTCATAAGAGCTACAATTTCACCAAATTTCAACTTACTTTTTTCTCGAAAAGTCATCGTTGGCACGATGATTTCTTCATAAAAATGAATAATCCCGATTATTACCAAACTGTTCTTAGTGGCATAACAATATTTTTATTTGATTTTATACATATTATCATGATGAATATCTTGACGTAAAAAAAAAATCCAATTCAGTTACTTTCTTTTTGAGATATTGAGAAAATGGCTATTTTTGTCACAAGGCCGAAATAACATCTTACATTACAAGTGTATAAATTGGGGGGATATGGGCGAGTGGTGCGATGTTTTTAGCGACACAAGATCAACTAATGACCGTACTTTTGATAATAAAAAAAGTAGAAAATTTACACTTCTTAGAAAAAAAAAGACCGTACCGAACTCTACCTCTGTCATAGCTATGACATTCCATCAAATACAAAATACCATAAATTATTGTCATGACTTTTTAAGTCGTATAGAGACGCAAATCATTGATAAAATGACGATGTGTAATTTTTTAGAAAATTTTTTAAACAAGATTTTTGGATAAATTGCTCTATGCCCGGATGTACTGAATCGATTGACATAAAATTTTATACATAACTGTGAGCTCATAATACAAAGTAGTACCCAGAATCTCAGATGTCTAGACCAAGCTTGACCCGTATCATGGACACCACATTAACTTTAAAATGAAAAAGTTAGAAAAACGCTGATATCTCGAAAACTTTGTGTGGGCGGGCATACATATTTTGATTGATCTTGATAGAAGATATCGTGACAAATATTTTGAAAAAAAAAAGTAAATCGGCCCAGTAATTTAGGAGATATTAAGCATAACAGTTTTTCATAAAAAGTTGAATATCTTCTAAACTACTTATCCGATTCAGCTCGTGAACAATACAGTTCTGTAGTATCATAAGAGCTATAATCCTACCAAATTTCAACTTCCTATCTTGAATTTTCAGTGAGTTATCGTTTCCACAACGATTTCCTAGTAAAAATTAAAAATGTCGATTATTACTAAACTGACCCTAGTTACGTAGCAATATTTTGATTTGATTCGATAGATATTATCGTTAGGAATACTTTTCCGTCAAAAAACTTCAATTCGGTCACGTAGTTTATGAGATATTGACGAAAAAAGATTTTTTAGAAATTGTTATATCTCGGAAACTACTGGGCCGATTAAGCTGAACTTGCGCCCACAAATGCTCCAAAGTAATACCAAGTATCCGACAAAATTTCAGATTTTTAGCTCAAACTTTAGTCTTTTTTTCGTCGGGATTTATAAAAAATTTCCGAAAAATCAGCATACACATTCCGACATACATACATTTTCTAAAAACATGATATTTTCACATTTCATGACATTCTACATCATTTCCAAGCAAAATTACGAGATCGTAAAAATCATCGATTACAAGGATGATCTGTTTTCTAAGGCTCGGGCATGTAATGTACTATTCCTCTACTTGTTTTCGTTTTTCGACTGTTTCATTTTTCCCCACACCCCTATTTTTACTTCCGAATGGAAGCTTTGTAATCGTTCAAAATTAAGTTTCCAAATTTTTATGTCAGGGTAACTAAATATGGTCTAAAAAGTCTAAATATGCGATTTTTAGATAGTGTATGTATGTATGTATGTGTATGTGTAATTTTTTTCATTTTTTTTTCGCCATTTTCTTTATAGGAGCTTGATGAAATTTCATGAATTTTTCCATGGATATAGACGTTAATAGGCTCTATTCATCGACATCAATTAAAGTTGAAGTATTCGTAGAGTTTGTGAAATATTGGTATTTTTTCCAAAACCGATTTTTCGACGCTCAGTCCAAGAATTGTTATCAGAATAAAATAAATCATGGATTAAAAAATTTGTATTGATAGCCTCTTGATTCTATCAGAATATGATGCGGATCGCATCTATCACTGTTGAGCTACAGCATATAGTTTGTGAGATTTTTTTTTCATTTCTTTCATGATAAACTGGAAAAATTATCAGTCATATCAATGAAATCATGGCTCAAAAAGATTGTTTTGATGCTTTCTCGATGAAGTGCAAAGATGATGAAAATAGCATAACTATTTATTAAGTTGCATAGTAGCAATATGAAGCTTTAGGTCATATGGGGGTCATATATCGGTTATATAGGGTCATATAAAAGTTCTTCGGGGTTATATGAGGTTTGCATGGGGTTATATGGGAGTCATATGGAGGTCATATGTGGCAATATGAGGGTCAGATGGGGTTTTATAAAGTGATATGGGTTCATATGAGGTTCATATAGGGGCTGTATGAACACATGGGCGTCACTATTCAAAACAATAAAAAATAAGAGTAATAAATTTCAAAAATAGAGAATTCATTCGGAAGCATATTGCTAATTTGCTAGCAACATAAACTCCACCCATATACAGAAAATGCGATTATCCACTTGTTTTGGTAATTTTCAATTAACGATTTTGTTAGCCCATCAAGACTTGTTTGAAAACTTGTTCGTTTTTCTCTCAGTGCACGACAAGAGGAAGATTGAATGAAAATTGACCAATAATGTTGGTTATTTTTCCTTGTAGATCTCCCGCCTGTAACAAAGAATTATGGGCTCAAATAAATGCAGCACTCCAGGTAAATGGCAAATGACACAGAGCAGAGCCAGGCGTGACGTGGCTCACATCTCATCCCCACCCATCACCTCATTCCCAAGAAACACCGGCAGCATTACATCCACATCAGGCCCTTATGATACAGCATCAGCATATTATGGCCACTTTGAAGAATTTCGCCTGGGATAAGATCACGATACCGTGTATTATAGATGGACAGTATCAGCACAGATTGACCAATCGTCCATCATTACCATCACAAGTAGCTATGTTACAGCGTGATCCTGGTAATGTTTCAAGTGAGACATTGGATAATAGAGAAGAATGCAGTTGATTACGATAAGTCTGTCCATTGACTAATCAATTGCTATTTTTCATTGTTTTTATGTCATTTTTCTTTGGGCCTTGACACATTTTCTATGCACAATTTTTACCAAATTTTTGCCTCTTGCGTGGACAATTCGTCGATTCATTCTCAATCGTCTGAATTTAATGTCACATTAGCACTTAGGTAAATATGTAACACATGTTTCAAGAGGTAAAAATCGTAGAGGTAAAAATAATGAGAAAGGAGATGACATCAAGGTCTAAGCGAAATTGAAAGAAAATCCCTCGTCAGGTATGAAAAGAGAAAAGAAAGGAAAAATGGAAAAAAAATTGTAATCTTGATTTTTTTTTCGATGTAATCTTCTCTTCGTTTACTATATGCGAATTGTAAATCAAACGAATGAATACACGAGCCAAACACGAATTCCAATAATCAATCGTGGAATTTTATGAGAAAATTATATATATAATCGATTATCATAATGCATCAGAATGACTCATTTTTTTCGTAATAGAAGGAATAATAAACTTCGTTAGCCTCGAATAGATAGTAAATTTTATTTCGACTATAGATAGGATGAATTTTTCACGCATCTCGTTTCAAATATTTTTCTCTCTTTCTCTCTCTATATATTTTTTTGTTTCGATTTTTGTGACAAAAGAATTTAGTAATGAAAGTACTATTTATGTAGCGAACAATATTACTGATGAGAAGAATGCCACACGTGTGAGAACACATACATCAAAGATAAAGCAAACATTTACTCGAATAATTACATCGAAATTTTTATATGAATTGAACAAATAATGTGAAAGAAATTAATATGAATCGATTACTATTTTTTTTTGTTTCGTTTCAGTTTTATTTTTACCATTTGTGTAAACTTTTTCTCTTATTTTCAGCAATCATGAAGAACTAATAGATTGTTTTTTTTTATTTAACGCACAACATTGTATCCATCACATATTTTCTGTTCTGTCATTCCCAACACCAATCATCCATCAAGGAAATGATCTCTTTACTTATTAATTCTATATTATTTTGATTTTGATTTAAATAAAAAACGTAATGGAAAAATAAGATGAAAAGTATATTGAGTATTGTAGCATTGAACGTTGACATATCACCTAAAACTCAAATTTATTGGGAGATTATTAACACAGATCTGCTGCCACTTTTAGTTTGAGAGAACCTCGTTGGTCGTCGGATTCCCTTGTCGCGTTTGGATATTTATTTACAGGCATGAATGGATTCAATGAAAAAGTTTAGCGCTTTCTCTAGGAAATGCTATTAGTTTTTTTTACCGATTTTTACTTAAAATTTTGTGCGATTTTCATGTAGATTTCGTATGAACGACAAGAAAGAGGAAATAATTACACGGTAATTATTTCCTCTTATGACTAAATTTGGACGTCGCCGGCCTCAAAAACGAGACTGACCCCATTTTATAGATATTTTGATGCTGATTTTAAATTTCTGTTTGAAAATCTTTTTAGCACGTCTAGTTTTCGTGAAAAAAAAATGTTGAAAGTGTTGAAAAATAACTGAAAAGGGGAATTTAAAAAATTTATTAAGAAATGAATTTGGACGTAGGTTTTCCCAGAAAAAAAAATGAATTAATGAAAATGCAATTTGGTTAGTGCATTTGGTTTCATCCCAATTGGTTGAGTCGAAGTGAGTGAAAAAAATCTCGAAAAAGTCCAAATTTCATGATTTTTCTTGTAAAACTAAGTGATCGGAAGTTGATTGCGCACACTTTCACGCATACCAATCTCAAATCTATCTACACATGTGTGTTAACCTTGTGCGTCAATCTCTTTATTTTCCAACTTCATTTCAGCAACTAAACCTCTCCACAATTGAGGGTGACTTCTCATAAGAGCAATTAACCGGTGACCTTGCAGGAAAGGCATCTTCAAACTTCATGTTAAGTTAAGTCGAGGTTAATACACAGATGTAGATAGATTTGAAATTGGCGTGCATCGAAGTGTGAGCTTCCGATCATTTGATTTCACAAGAAAAATCATGAAATTGGGACTTTTACAGGATTTTTTTCACTCTTTCTGACTCAACCAATTGGGATAAAATCGAATCCACTAAACAAAACGCATTCTCATTAATTCATAGTTTTTTTCTGGGAAAAACTACGACCAAATTAATTTTTTTACATATTTTTCAAATTGCTCATTTTATCCATTTTTCAGCATTTCAACATTTTTTATCTCAAAACCTAGGGCTAGAAAGATTTCTCAAAAGAAATTCAAAATCAGCATTCAAATATCTATAAGATGGAGTCAGTTTCGTTTTCGCGGTCAAATACGTCCGAATTTTGTAGAACCTTATTATTAGAATTATTTATGAGGAAATTCACGCCAAATCAGTAGGCCAATAAAGTCCATGCCGGGGATTTTTTTTTGAAAAGATGGCGATTAAACAAAAATTTTGAAAAATTGAAAAATATTGATAATTGAGGGGAGTTATGATTTTTTGAAAATGGATAGTTCTCGTCAAAAATTTTTTTTCAATTTCATTGATTTGAAAATCAATAAAATTATTTTTATTTCAATGAAAATATTTAATAACATGAAAGAAAAAAGTTATTTACTCCAAGAAAATCCTCTATTACAATAAAAAATAAACGATTTATTTACTTCAAATAAAGAATTTCTCTAGGTGTACGCGCGCTCTGTGTCATAGTCGATCGAATGGATTGATTAGAAAAATCAAAATCTATTGATCTTTCTCAATCGCATGTTATCTATGAGTATTTCTACCGCGGGAAGAGGCTCCTGAATATTCGGTAGAAACCGGCAGTGAACTAAAAGGATTTCCAATAATAATAGCCTTTTTCATTTTTAACAAAATAAATTTGCCAACACTTTGTGACTTTATGCATAATCCGTCTATTTTGATAGCTGAAATGAATATTATCACCAAGATTAATATTCATCAGAATTTATCATCATTCTCTCGAAAGCTTCCAGTTTGATGAGAAGCCTGTGAAATTTCAATGGAATTTCCAACGGAATGCGCTATTTTCTTGAATTCTTTCATACATGTTGCATATTGCGTCATCAACCTCCGGTATTTCGCGATGTGTTACTCTTCCATGGATAAATTCCATGAAGTTTCAATTCTGCTCGGGTCGAATATATTATTCGTTAACATTCCTTTGATGTCTTCGAGTCGACTTCCTAAAAATTGAACAATTTCTTCACCGCCTATTATTATAAATCAATTTAAGTAAGAGGGGATGAAATTATCTTGATATTTTTCTTCAAATGCCCTCATGTATTATGTTCCAATCTCCTCCTCATCCCCCCTCCCTGGCTAATTAAAGGGAGATTGCGGTAAAATTTGAAAGTCCCTGGATTTCTTCACAATGAAGCTGAGTGTTCTCGCTCTTTGTTAGGATCCTCGAAAAAGTGGAAAAATGCAAACTCCAAGGGGTTTTAATTCGCGCAAGGGGCCGAAACCTTGAAAATCGTCAAAATGATGTGTCGATTGATGGTCAATCTAGAAATGAGCTTACGCATAGTTTATCTGTATACAAAGTATCAAATAGTATATTTTGATAGAAATGAGACGTAATTTGCCTGAGTGTAAAGTGATTGGCAGCCCTCGGCGCGAGGCGAAGCCGAGGGCTGCCAATCACACCATCTGAAAATTCCCGACTCACCTGTGTCGAACAATATTTATTGACAGAGATGTTGCGTTCAGCGAGTGGTCGAATTGTGCCTTTTTCGTTTACTTTTCGTTTACGAGTAAACGAAAAGGCACTTTCCGGTACGAGGTGAATGTAGCAGCAGTGTCAAAATAGTATATTTCGTAACGAGTGCAAAAAAGTGTTTTTTGGCGAGTGGGAGGTTTATATCTCGAGCCGAAGGCGAGTGATATAATCCCACGAGCTAAAAAACATTTTTATGCCACTCATGCCTGAAACCGGCTGGATTACACACTCGACGCTTCGCGTCTCGTGTCTAATTCAGCCGGTTTCTTCGTGACATAAAATTTTGTTCAGTACTTGTTGGGAAATTTCGTCCTTAACATGTGTGGTTACATCACTCGCCTTCGGCTCATGCTGTAAACCCCACACACGTTAAAGACGAAATTGCCCCACACGTGCTGAAATATACTATTTTGACACTGCTGCTACGTTCACCTCGTGTCGAAAAGTGCCTTTTCGTTTACTCGTAAACGAAAAGTCTTTTCGTTTACTAGTAAACGAAAAAAGGCACAGTTCGCCACTCGCTGAACGTAACATCACTGTCAAAAACTATTGTTCGACACATGTGAGACAGGAATTTTCACGAGTGTGATTGGCAGCCCTCGGCTTCGCCTCGAGCCGACAACTTCACACTCGTGAAAATTCTGTCGCACTCGTATCGAAATATACTATTTCACGAGTTACGAACAATATTTTTCATCACAATGTGGCGGAAATTGGATTTTTAGGCACGCTCCGCGTGCCTAAAAGTTCGCTTTTCGTCACAGCGTGATGAAAATGTATATTTACGTCCCTAGACCCGAGAAACCGCGATCCTAACCGAGCGAAGCGACCATTAAGGTTTTCGGGCCCAATGGCATAAAAATATTGAATTTGAGTAATATCCCATTACTTTCGCTATTTAAGTGGAATATGACGGTTACATAGATTTATGTCACAAAACGGTCATAATCGAGGAGTGCGATCAGAAAATTTTATCAAATCAAAGGACTATAACTTCTCATCAACGTTTTTTTATTGAAGGTCAGTCGATTATATCGTCACTAATTGGTCACATAATGAACATTTTGACCATCTATTTCGTTGAAATATGACCGTCGAATCGTAATATCGTCCTAATTTGGTCATATGATTTTCCAAAAATTTAATATAATTACAGGAAAATTAACGTGCTGTTCAATTAAATTTCCAATACCAACAGGGGAATCTTCTCCTGGCCACCAACTTGCACCTTCTTCGTGTTCTATGCCTCCAAACAAATAATACTTTATTTTAAGATTTCAATGGTCTTAAAATAAAATTTTCAAAAGTCTTAATTTGAAGCCCGAAATTCTCAAGTTGAGAGTTTCAAAAGTCTCAATTTCAGATTTTGTGATCTACATTTTGCCTTTCTGAAAGTAAGGCAAAATGTTAAGACTTTGGGAACTCAATTTGGAATCTTTCCCAAAGGGGAGTTCTGAAACCCTCAATTTGAAACATTAAAAAATATCAATTTGAGATCGCAAGCCTCAAAATCAAGCTTGTTTTTTTTTGGATATAGCACTAGAATTTTTCTACAAAATTGCCCTTCGTATAGTAGTCAACATATTGACATTTTTCAAACTTCAATCGATTCAAGCAGAGAACGCAGCTCAGACATAAGATTCATGAGTACCTGGGGATTCTAATTTATTGCAAAAATGACAAAACCAAATTATAAAAGAGAGCAATCACCCACTAGTTTATTCGTATGCATACGAACTATGTGTAATTTAATTTTTAGCGCACCCGCCCACACGGAAAAATCTATATATTGAAAATAATATATTCTCTATATATAATTGGACCAGTTTATCCATAAAATATACATAAAATATTTGTGTTATATATTTTCTATATACGTTTTGAGAAATCGACGAAGTTAGCCCAAATGATATATATTTTTTAAATATTTTTTCGTGGGGCTGATTACAAATTCAGTCACTCGAGCGATTTTCAAGGCTTCGGTCGCTTTTTAAGTGTTGTCCACCTTGGAACTCTCCGAACTTCGCGTCCTTCTTATTTTTCTGCGACTCTTAACGACCGACAAGAACCCTCAAATTCATGGTTACAAAATTCCGAGACTTTCAAATTTCATCGGGGTTTCCCCTTGATAATTGAAATTTCATTAAATCCCCGTAATTAAATTCTAAATCAATCTCAAGAATTCACCCTCCGACTCATCTATAATTGCCTAGAAACTGTCATAGCTAAGTAAAAAAAAGAAAGTACCGCACACATGAAAAAATTTCATAGAAAAACCTCGCGCGCTTTCTCTAATAAATTTTATTGAATTTCCATTCGAACTCTATAAGAATTCTCTTGAAGTTTTATT